GAGCTGACATGGCTGTACAGGTCTGCAGGCCTGCAGGCAGAGGAGAACAAGTCGTTTGACATGACTCAAGTGCTGAAGATGCAGGAGGAGTGAGTTGGTGGCGGCAGGGGGGATAAGCTTGTGATGGCGAGGAATGATCAGCCGTCACAAGCAAGAGATGAAGAGGCTGCGAGAAGAGTCGCAAGGCCGCGTCGCTTGTCTCAAGGCGAGTCTGCGCTCCTTCCGTGCTGTGCGGCGACTTAGCTGGAGGAGGACGAGAGGGAGGAGATAGGCAGGAGATGATTATGATGATGATGATGAGCAGCAGCAGCAGCAGCAGCAGCAGCAGCAGCAGCAGCAGCAGCAGGTGGAGAAGCAGGAGGAGGAGCAGTTGGTGGATGCTTGTAGAGCTGGTGACATGCTGGAGCAGAGCAAGCTGAGGGAGGTGAAGGCTTCAAACGAGTCGATGCAGCAGGAGATCGAGCGACTGAAAGGTCTCGAGCTCGAGCTCGAGCAGCAGACGTCAAGGTGCGATCGATTGCCGTTGCAGCCGTTAGTTCGAGGTTACGGCTGCAACAGAGGCGACGGGCTGGAAGAAGACAAGACAAGGCTGAATGGGAGGCTGGAGGAGATGGAGGGAGAGATGGAGAGCAGGAGGCAGATAGAAACGCAGCAAGGAGAGCAGATCGCAAGAGCTCTTCACGACCTCAACGTGACTTGACAAGTACACCGCACACCCGAGCTGACATGAGCGCGTCAGCTCTGCCGTCAGCAGGTCGAGGACCTGAGGAGCTCAAGCTTGTTGCATGTGATACCTCATACTGCCTGTCTTGCTGGGCGAGATGCGCGTGTGAAGTTGCGTGTCTGCAAGGAACAAAAGCTGGAGGAAGCGGAAGAAGCGATGAAGGAGGTCGAGCACAAGCTACAAACATCAGAGAGCATGCGGGTGAGGTGGAGGAGAGGTGAAGGGTGCGGAGGATGAGACGAGGGTGTTGTTGGTGTGCAGGAGGTCAACGTAGAGGAGCTGGAGAAGGCGCGACAAGACAACCAGGTCTTACAGCAGAAGAATGAGATCTTGAGCAACGTCTTGGAGAGCTTGCAGGAGGATATGCGAGGGCTGCAGGTCTTGTGCGGGAGGAGAGGACATGTTGTTGTGGTAACGAGAGAGCGAAGGTGGAGTATGCGGAGATGAGGGAAGGGAAAGCTGCTTCAGACGGCAAGATTGTAGAGCTGGTAGAGTGTTGGGATGAAGAAAGGCTGTGGCGATGAGGGAGTGCTGTCAGATAAGACAGTTTCAACAAGAGAAAGATGAGTATGCTGAGGCGATCGAAGAGAGACTGAAGGTGACGTGCAAGGAAGCATGAATGATGATTGTACTGATGGAGATGATGATGATGATGATGATGCAGATTCAGATGACGATTATGATAACGATGATGATAAATCACATGATGGTGATGATGATGGAGATGATGATTGAGATGATGATGTGTGATGATGATTACAATGCTGACGATGGGAGCAGCAATCTGAAGAGAGAATCTCCCAGACTTTGAAGGAACTACGTCAGGTACATGTCGTGTCGAGACTGATATGCTCGTGGCCGCACTAGCTGAACCACAGACAACAGAGCGAGAAGAAGATGTCTTCTTACACAAAGCACAACTCTCATCTTCGAGGTGAAGAGAGAGAGAGAGAGGTCAGGAGGATCGCGATGGATGACGACTACCATCACAGACGAGATCTCGTGTTTGACGCGTGCTCTCCATGTGCTGACGACATTGCAGCTCGGTGAGGAGGAGGGGAGAAACCCTGGGGGAGGCAGAGAGGGAGAGGTAGAGGAAGGGTGAAGGTTTGAAACCTGTCTGCAGATGTCGACGAGCAGATTTCAAAGCTTGAGGGGATGATTGTGAAACAGGCAAAGATATTCGACATGAGCGGGGGTTGGGGCTTCAAGGCATGACATTGTGAGCAGGAGGGATTGATAGAGAGCTTGAAGAACGTCTACGTGAGATGTAGTAGATGTCTTGGTGAGAGCTGATAGGTTGTCTTGCAGTCTTACCATCAGGCGAAATATCAGAACCTCGTCCGTGAATATCACTTGCTCTTCAACAGAGTCAGTCGTCTCCTCCTCCATCCTCCTCCTCCTCCATCCTCCTCCAACCTCCTCCATCCTCCTGCATCCTCCTCCTCCTCCTTCTCCTCCTTCTCTCCTCCTCCTCCTCCTCCTTCGGTTCCCTTGTTCTCTGCATCTGCATCTCGCTACTGCTGCTCGATTCCTGCTGGGTGCTGGTGTTATCTCTATTTCTCTCACCTCCTGCTTCTGCTGGACGTAGCTGCTCCTGCTCCCTTACGTGCTCCTCTCCTTCTCTCCTCCTACTCCTCATTTGTGCCCCTCCTCCTCCCTCCTCCCCCTCCTCCCTCCTCCCTCCTCCCTCCTCCCTCCTCCCTCCTCCCTCCTCCCTCCTCCCTCCTCCCTCCTCCCCCTGCTCTTCCCCCCCTTCCTCTGTCTGCCTCACCTGCATCTTCAGCTCCTCTCGTCCTGTCGCTCACCTCCTCCTCCTCGCAGGCGCGCGACAACGTCTTCGAGATCTGCCTGCCCTCGAGCTCGCAGAGGTCCGACGGCTCTGCCGTCCTGCAGGAGCTGACAGATC